CCCTCTTTCCTCCCACAGTAAATACAGTTGTATTACTCACTATCACTTATCCTCAATTGCAAGACAATACAATACAAAATTACATTGTCAAGCGTCTTTCACGTCAGGAGGATGTCTCAAGGCGCTGAACACTCAGGGATTAGGGTTTAGGATGCAAGCGGGTGGGCGGGTTGAATCAGGGAGGATAGAGAGCAGAAAGGGTAGGAGGGTGGTTGAAGACACAGTCTAAGAGAAGGGTCTTGAGGCATATCTTAAAGGAGGCAAGGGAGGGAGCGAGGCAAAGAGAATGTGGGATGGAGTTCCAGAGGGTTGGGGCAGAGAGGCTGAAGGCCCGACCGCTGATGGTGGGGCGGGGGGCTGGTGGGGGACATGGAGCAGGCTGGAATCTGCTGAGTGAAGGGAGCGGACAGGTTGATAAGTGGTTAGCTGGTTGGATAGGTCGGAGGGGGATGGCCGTGGCGGGCCTTGAAGGTGAGGACAAGGATTTTGAATTCGATCCTCTGAGGGATGGGGAGCCAGTGAAACCGGGCAAGGGTGGATGTGATGGGGTAACGGAGTCTGGTGTGGGAGAGGACACAAGCTGCAGAGTTCTGGATGATCTGTGGCTTGTGGAGGGAAGAGTTGTGGAGGGAAGGCCAGAGAATAGAGATGTATCCCTCAGTGCTAAACATCCACCGTATATATTTACACACTGAAATAGTTCAAATCAAGTCTCTTAAAATATTCTGTCATAATTGTAGGCCAAAACATGTATTGTGCCTAAGTACTTATTTAGTATACACCTTTTACTGGAAAAGTGTAGATGTCTCCATTGTAATTGTTTGTGTTTTGATTTTACATACATTATTATAGCTGTTGTTCCTCTGAACGTTTCTCTCTTCTTCTCAAAGACCAGATGTGCTGGTTTACCTGTTCTTTCTTCAACAACAAATTACATTTGTATAGTACCTTTCACATCTGGAGGTCGTCCCAAGGTGCTAGATAGTCAGGGGTTTGGACCCGAGCTGGGGGTTGAGTTCAGGAGGGGTGGAGGGCAGAGAGGGTAGAGGTAGGAGGTTGGCTGAAGGTGCATTCGAAGAGGAGGGTCTTGAGTGGGGCCTTGAAGGAGATAAGGGAGGGGCAAGACTAAGGTACTGTGGTATTGGAGTTGCAAAGGGTTGGCCAGAAAGGCAGAAACACAAATCACAGGTACAAAGAGTTATCAAAAAGGCTAATGGGATGTTGGCCCTTATCTCAAGGGGGCTGGAATATAAAGGAGAGAAAATGATGCTTCAACTTTATAGAGCCTTGGTCAGACCCCATCTGGAATATTGTGTTCAGTTTTTGGGCACCACACATCAGAAAGGCTAGATTGGCTTTGGAGGGGGTGCAGCGCAGATTCACCAAAATTATACCAGAGCTAAAAGGGTTAAATTATGAGAACAGTTTGCATGAACTTGGTCTCCATTCCCTTTAATTTAGAAGGTTGAGGGGTGATCTGATTGAGGTTTTCAAAATAAATAATAAAGGATAGATACAGAGAAACTTATTTCCTCTAGTAGGGGAATCCAGAACAAGGGGCATAATCTTAAAATTAGAGCTAGGCCATTTATCAGTGAAATTAGGAAGCAGTTTTGAGGTACAGATCAAGCATGATCTTATGGAATGGAGGAACAGGCTCGAGGGGCTGAATGGCCTACTCTTCCTTCTATGTTTACTGTATTATTATCATTGTAAATGAACATCTTCTGAAATGTGAAATCCTGCAAATTCACCCCAAGATCGTTAAGAGTTCAAGGGGCATTTTCTCAATGGGCAATTTCTTGAGGCTGAATTTGGTCTGGGCAAGGAGAAATTTCTCAAGGGGATGAGACAGAATTTCTCTAGGCAAGGTGAGATGACCATAGATGCGGTCAAAGAGGAAGGTTACATGGTGAGATTAAAGATAAGTAGAGAGGGGCGAGGTAGCGAGGTAATAGATTGGGAGTTCCAGAGGTTTGGGCATCGTGACTGAAGGCTCAGCCAACAATAATTGCGCAGAGGGGATGAAGAATGCGTACCAACCTGTGTTAGCTGAGCTGAGGGGCAGGCAGAAGAGTGGGGTATGAGCAGATCAGATTCCTCCGAATCTTAAATTTTAAAACAGAATAGTCTTGCATCAGCAACAACGTAAACTTAAAATTATGCCTTTCACGTAAAATTATTTAATCTGAAATATACTTTTTCTCCAAGCTGAATTTTATAACATAGCTTCCTGAGGTAATATAATAATAATCCTTGCATTTGCTGTAGCACCTTATCACGTCTTTGAGATGTCTCAAAAACAATTCCCAGGATATACTGTGAAGTGGATTGACTGTATTATAAAGGTTTATGCCATATTTATGACTAAGTCATTGTTGCAGCTAACAATCTGCCTAATTACACGTTTGAGCTTTTGAAAGTAAACAGCAAGTAATTGCTAGTTTTAGATGAAAAGTGAGAGTAAAGGCAATCAGCTGTTCTCTGCCAAGCCCACAATCTTTGAAGATTTGTTTCCTGGGCAACATTCTTTCCTCATCCAAATTCACTGCCAAAGGAAACGGTGATTCATCCCATTGATGCTTGTGGGGTACGGCTGTCACAGATTATCTGCTGCCTTTGCCCAGTAATCATTAATACGTTTCAAAGTCACTCATTGCATGAAAACCTTTGAAATATTTCATGGCAACAAGGTGCCACTTAGAATGCAGCAATCATGATTACAACCCCGCGGGAATATGGAGGAAGTCACCCACATCTGTCACTTGCCTTCCAATGGGCTTTACAAAGCAAAATATAGTTCAGGAGCAATAATAATCTTTGTATTTGATAGAGCGCCTTTCATGTCATGAGGACATGCTGAAGTGGAGTGACTGCATTTACAGGGGAATACAGCAACGCAATTATGCATAGCAATGTCCCACAAACAGCCATGAAACAAATGATGAATTTTATTTAAGGGATTGTTGGCCAGGACACTGGGCGAAACTACCTTTACTTTTCAGGTATTGTCACAAGATCTTTTACATCCACCTGAACAAGCAGATGGGACTTCAGTTCAATGTCTCATCAGAGAAGTGACTGTTTGTGGGACCTTGCTAGCCCAAGTAGCTACTATATCCCTACAAGCACAGTGGCTAAATTTGCAGATGACACCAGGCTAATGAAGGTGGTAGATTGTGAAGCTGTACAAAATAGGTTACAGGAGGATTTTAACATAATTGGGAATTGGCAGATCGGTGGCAGATGAAATTCAATGTGGAGAAATGTAAAGGACTTCACATGATGACAAAAAGTCCTGGAAGAGACTATTATTTGAATGGAAGGAAAATAATATGTATGGAAAATGAAAAGGACCTGGGGGTCCTGATTGACATAAATTGAAGCTTTCCCAACAATGTTCTGTGGCAGTGAGTAAAGCAAACCAGATGTTGGGATCTATCAAAAGATCAACAGCAAGCTGAAATAGTGGAGTAATCCAGCTACTGTATAAATCATTGGTGAGACCATATTTAGTGTCCTGTGTACAGTTCTGGTCGCCGCAGTACAAAAAGGATATTGAAGAAATCAAGAAGATACAGAGGAAAGCAACCAAAATGATTGAGGGAATGGAAGGATTGGCCTATGAGGTGCGACTAAATAAATTGGGCATGTTCACACTGGAAAACAGAAGATTGAGAGGTGACATGATTGCTGTTTTTAAGATTCTAAAGGGGCAAAACAATATAGATCATGACAGGCTGTTTCAACTTGTCCAGAATAGTAGAACCAGAGGACACGGCCTGCGATTGAAGGCAAATTCAGAACGAATCTCGCAAGCACTATTTCAGTGAGCGAATAGTGAACCTATGGAACGGGGTCCCTAGGGAGATGGTTGAAGCAGAAAGCAGAAAGTGTTGATTCTTTCAAACACAGATTAGATAGTTTTCTTTTAGGAAATAACATTATGGGATATAGTACATAGGTAGTTTGGGACATATGTGCATGCATGCAACCGCCAGAAAGATGGAAGGCGAACTAGATGGACCCTGGTCTTTTTTCGTCCAGCATTTCTTATGTTCTTATGTAAGTGCACGGAAACTATATTCACAGCCTGCAAAAAAAATTTTGAGACATTCTGTTTGTTATAAACCACTGTAAAAATCCAAGTTCTTTCTTTGTTACTTCAGCTTTCAGCAGATTTCAAAGTAAAGTGTTTCTAGAGATAAAACTGCAGGACAGCATGTACAGTGTGTTCCCTTGTGTCCTTTGTCTTGGCTGTTTGTTCCTTAAAAAGTTGAAAGGATTGTGCCAGCAATAGTTGTAGTGTACAAAATAACTCCAGGGGGAAGCTAGCACTGGCATACACATGTTGGACGCTTTGTGCTATAAACTTCTATAATCTTAACATGAAAATCAAACCAAGGGGAACAGTTTACAACATCATTTTTTTAAACATTAGAGTAAAATTCCACCTGTGTCTAAGTTTATTCTAATAACATGGCATTTCAGAGCATCCAGAATTTGGCAAATTGTTGAATTCAGTCTTAATTTTGAAGCCGGATTGTTTTTTTAAAAAGAAAACTGGCTTCAAAATTAAGACTCTATTTAAGAATTACCAAATTCTGTACATTCGGAAATGTTACGTTCAAAGAGTAACTCTAGACCCAAATGGAATTTGATTTGTACTGCAGTATCATAGCATCGCCTTTGCTTATGTGCCTTCCCTTGTCCTCTGCATCATTGTTTCTCAACAACCGGTTTGAGGACCAATCCTGGTCTGTGATCACCTAATGGCCATTCCATAACAGAGATCTTTTCAGTCCAGGTGACCCGAGAGACCCATTTCCTTACAGGCTGCCACATTTTCAGAAGAAACCCAGCCAGTTTCTGACATCGAAAAAGTTGAGAAATACTGATCCTTGTAATATGTTGTCACTGGACAACTGGTAAATATTTACAAATTGCTTATTTGGAATTCAATCAATATGATTTATGTTTGTGTGTGTGTTTATTAACAGAAATCCTGACAAAGGAATTCAATTTCTAATCGCCCGTGGATTCATCCCCGACACAGCGATTGGAGTGGCACACTTCCTGCTGCAGCGCAAAGGCCTGAGCCGCCAGATGATAGGAGAATTTCTAGGCAACAGCAAGAAGCAATTCAACAGAGATGTTCTGGAGTGAGTAATGACCAGATCCTTTTTTTTAAATCACCTTTCCTAACTACTCCCCAACTCACTCATGTTTAACAGCTCAGAGACCAAAAAGCCGTTAATAATGCAGTTCAATCCTCAATGTTCCTCCAACAAATTGCACAGTCACTTCTTTTTTGAAGAATTCAATCCATGACCCTATGAAAAACTGCAGACTTCATAAATAGTTAAGATTGCTTTGAGAAGATCAGTGACTTCCTAAGGTCGATGATGGATTTTATTCCTCGGAGCATCTAACTGAGATGCAGCATGCGGAATGACCTGTTCTTGAGGATAGACACCAGAGACCTGTAAATTTTAAAAAGGCATAACAGGAGCTAGTGGAAGAAAAGCAAACAAGAGCTACAGAATGTGTACAGAGCACTGAGATATGGGCATGTGGACTTTTGAAAAAAAGTGCATCGGAGTAATGCACAAACAGCATACTCAAAGCAAGTATGCCTTGTTTAAAGTAGCCATAGGCTCTTTTTTAACCTGTGTTTAGCACTTAGGAAATCTGCATTTTTAAATTATTCATTCGCCAGCATATCAGGTACCCAATGGCAGCTTCTTACTTGTGATTGAGAGACTGGGAAAGACTTTTCTTATTCCCTTGTGCCTGTTCCCAAACCCATATTTCCCAGCAAGAGTTACAGCTGTGCCATGACTCCAGGAGTAGAAACAGCCCTCAGACCACTAGCCGCCCAATGCAGCCTCCTGTACCATCCGTGCCTTCCATAATTTACAACAATCCCAATTTTTATTTTTATCCCTATTTTGCAGTTATGTCCTGGGCCATTAAAAAAGATTGCAATGTCTTACAACATGATGGTGGAAATCAGCAGCAAATAAAGCCATTTCAACCAGTTTTTAGTTTTTTTACAACCTCAAAAAATCAGAAGAATTGAACAGAATGCTTCAACCAAATGACTCTTTACTTGACTTTTAAAATATAAAGTAGGCCATGAAAACTGTTTTCCAGGATCATATGGGGAGTTTGGGACCTAACCAAGTCCTTAATGATCTGTTCGCTGCCACTAATACAGATTAATGAGCAAGCTGAGGAGACGTCAGGTCTGATTTAGTAACTACTCTCTCAGACTGAAGCTCCTTAATATTCACCAAAGCACAAATAACATGCCCTGCATTAACACTGGATGTTTGAAGGTACTGTTGCCTTTGGGAGCCTCTGGCTTAGTTACAGAGAGAGCTGCCGGTTTGCATTATCGGAGGCAGCAGGAGAAATGAAACTCTGCTGCTATATTTACACAATGACGCCTTAATAGAATTTCAAACATAGAGACCTTTTGCTTGTCTACCTCTCACCTCTGTAGGTCTCCTTTTCTTTGGGTAATCTTCCTCGACTCACGTTCACCTTGCTGGTGCTGAACTGAAACCAATCGTGACAACATTCATGCCTAAACATTCATCCTCATGTTTTTCCAATTGTTTGCCCACAAAACATAGTCATTGAACTTTACAATAAAACCTGTGAAACGTTTTGGGACATCTTACAACTTGAAAGATGCTATATCAAATGTAAGGTTTTTTTATTATCATCATAGATTATATCTGAAAATTATTGGAATTATGAAGGGGGCGGAGAAGGGGGCTAAAGGATTCTTTTTGTGATTGTTATGCTCATCAAGTTCAGGATATTAATGCTAAGGAATGGAACAGCTTGTAATTTGAGGCATTTTTGTCAGCATTAATAATAATAATAATAATAATAATCCTTGCATTTGATATAGCGCTTTTCACGTCAGGAGGACGTCCCAAAGCGCTTCACAGAACACACTGTAAAGTGAATTGACTGTATATTTGTGGGCGAACGCGGCAGCCAATTGCGCACAGCAATGTCCCACAAACAGTCATGGGTTGAAACTGACCAATTTATTATTGTTTTTTTGGTTTTGGAGGGATTATTATTAGGCGGGTGGAGTAAGGAAACTTGCCCAAGGTTTCGCCCTGCCTGGAATTGAACTCAGGTCTCTCGCTTGCAAAGCGAGTGCTCAACCATTGAGCTTCAGGACTCCACCTGTACTCCTGTACACCTGTACATTAAATACTCCCAGGTCATTTATAGCACAGTTAAAAACATAATCATAATAAACCATGCGTTTGTTATAGCCCTTCACTTCAGATGTCTTAAAGTGCGTCACAGGATTTATTGTATAGTGGCTGTGTATTTTGTAGGGAAACACGGCAGTTAATTTGTGCACAGCAATGTCCCACCAACAGTCATGAATCAAATAGCAGATGATAGCTCCCGCCTCTCTTCTTAATTAATGCCTAATTAAGAGCACTTCAATGCTGTGAGCCCTGCCTGTTTTGATCTGGATTGAGACCTAGCAAAATCGTTGCACCTTGGATCCTGACAGCCAATAGATAGAAGCGACTTGCATGCCATTCATCTGTGTTAAAACTCAGGTCCCAGTAGGTCAAGAGTTCATCAGAAACTATAAGCATCACCTACACATCGGACAGTCAATACACTTTACAGTAAGCCCCGTGAAACACTTCATTTTTTGTATTAAATGCATTATTATTATTGGTAACTACATTAAGAATTCCTATTAAAACACTGCTAAACAGCTTAACTATAGTTCAGAATAGTCAGAGAACTGGCATTGTTGCTGCTAACATTTGAAGCTGCTAAACAACACCATTATCAATTTGTCTAGGCATGATTTCTCTTTAACTTCCCACAAAGGGATGTACCTCTTCAAATTCAATGGGGAGGATGAATGGCAGAGTGCCCTTTCACCTCTGGGACTTGGGTTCCAATCTCGCTCATATTGATGGGACTCTTCTGGTATTAAGTGAAATGCATTTTGACAGCCTTAATCCAATTCCTTCTTGGCACAAGTTTACAAGATAAAACTATTGTCTAATTAGTATTGAATTTGCACCAAATTGTATATCTCACTCAAACAGGTTATTTTTGCATTGCAATTCAAGAGAAAGTTCACTCCACAATTTACATTTTTACCCAGAAATAAAATAGGATGCGCTTTAGCACAGTGCTACAGTTAAAGAGAAATCGTACCGAGACAAATTGCTAGTAATGCTGCATCTCAATGCAGGTTTCAGTGGAGGTGCCCATGACTTATTTAAACACTGAAGCAAGACTTGGGTTTAGGGAAACTAAAGTAAAAGGTTTAAGTAACAAATAGGGATCTGCAAACTTATCTAAAGAATTCTTTATCCAGTCAGGAGACACTAAAACTTGCCCTTTAATTGCCTGATGTGCTTTCTTTTACCAGCTGTTTGCCATTCAGTCTAATGCTTTCCTTCACTTGTTGCATTTTTCATGAGACTCAGTGCCTCATTACAAGAAGTTTTTCACTTTGCACAGAGGGCTCAGTGCACTGGAACAATCCTGAAGAGGGAATCCAGAGGGTCAATGCTTCCAAATAAAGGGAAAGTGATATCAAAGATAATGGTCCACTTTGCTGCTGCTTTCCTGACCAGGTCCAGTTTTTTAAAGAAGTTTTGTTTGCTCTTCAAAGATCAAGGTGCAACTGATCCAGTTAATTCCAGACAGAGTTGGAACTGGCATTGAAAATCCAATGAATCTTTGAGCTCACAAACCAATGTCCTGTCTGCCTGTTAAGGTTAACAGTGTGAACAGTTTGGTGCATCACTGAACTCTGAGACTGGATTATTTTTTAGCTGACTGAAATGCATCAAATACTATTTATAGGACACAGCAGAGAGCCAGGACTTTACGTGAATTCAGTTTCCTCTTTGTTTGCTTTTGATGGCAGCTTTCTTTGATGTTTGTTGCACCTTCTCTTTTAAAGGTAAAAGTAGCATCAATTGCTTGTCACTGACTCGGTGGGTAAATGTCTTGTGTGAATTGGAGCCACAAGGTACCCTGTTCCATCCTGTTAGCTGATCTCAATAGTATAGGCAGTAGGGGATACCATAATTGGCCTCAGTAACTCCAAAGGTTAGGAAAAGTGGAAGAAAAGTAGGAAGAGATCTCCTATGGACCAGGCTAATCAGAAGTACAGGAAAACTAAATAAAACTAAATAATAACCTAAAACCTAAAAATAACCTAAAAATAATAATCCCTCCAAAAAAAACAATGATCATTTTCAATCCATGGCTGTTTGGGAGACATTGCTGTGCGCAATTGGCTACCGCGTTTGCCCACAAATATACAGTCAATTCACTTTACAGTATATTCTGTGAAAAGCGCTATATCAAATGCAAGGATTATTATTATTATTAAAGTATCTCCAGTTTCCAGCATTTACTAGCCAACTTGTCATGGTAAAAAAATTAACTGACTTCTGGGTTGTCAGGTTAGCAATGATGTGGCATTCCTTTGCATTGCGCATTCGTAGATAGCAAATGTGCACAGCACACAGGCAATGATGTCAATGTTGATCAGCCACTTTTTCACGCCACCCTTATAATGCAGCTAATGAGACATAAGATCTCCACAACCACATTATAATGGTGTTTCCCTGTACATTGCTTGTACATTAGCAGAATATTGTGCCTGCACATATTGCTGATTAGCAGAGCACCTCATCTGGATACATTACTGGTTAGAGCACCTTGTTTATGTACATTGCCAGTTAGCAGAGCGCTGCTCTGTGAGCACATGCACAGTGCAGAAATCTCTCGCCTATGAGGTTGCAATGAAGAGTCAGCACACACCACTGTACTGTGGCCATCAGTTTGACACATCTCCAGCAATGTAACTGAGCCTTAAAAGAAAAGTCAAAACCCCACCTCACTGCACTAACACGTGGTGAAACTAATTAGGAACAGCATCTTGCCCATGTGTCATTGCATAAAAGCACAGCCCAAATCTGGCTAGTCTGCATCTATGTGAATACTTGTGTACCTTGAGTGTATTTTTATCCACGGTATTTACACATACTTGTGTGTGGAGATGCAAAGAGCAAGAAGTCTTTCATTCGTATATTGAACAGATTGGAACATTCTACACAATCAGTGTGATATAACAGCTGCTGGGATTGACTTTAAGAAGGTACCCCTTTCATACACTATTTACATCACCAAATTCAATAACTGAACATTAGTAGTTATTTGTGATGGATAAAGTACAGGCTAACCCATTGCCCAAGTCCACTAAATATCCTGGGTAGTTCCAAATGTGGAACCCAAAAGGTTCTGCATTCAAACCTTGTTTGGTTCTTTCATCCTTTTGAGCCTGTTAAAATAGACATTATATCTAAATAAAAATCAACTATGGAAGAGGTAAGTCATGTGTCCCTGCAGTCAAACTAGTTCAGAGAAGACACCCCTAACAAAACCAGGTAGGTCCACACTAATCCAAGCCACTGCGATGATTAACCAGCAGGTCTGATGAATTAGTGATACTTAATAGTGCAGAGATGTCCTTAACCCTGTGAACCAAAGTTTTAATGGTTAGGATAGTCCTTGCTGAACAAATGTTGACATATGTATCAGAGCTTCATATTGAAAAATTGTGCGGGTCCCATCGTGATGTATCTTCAACGCCGACTGTGAAAGCATAGTAGAAAGCTGAATACTGAATGGTGGAAATTGACTTGTGTTTTTTTTCCTGGTTTATCCTAGTTGTGTTGTTGATGAAATGGATTTTTCTAGCATGGAGTTGGATGAGGCACTGCGGAAGTTCCAGGCTCATATTCGAGTGCAAGGAGAGGCACAGAAGGTTGAACGGCTCATTGAGGCATTTAGGTAATGATTGTTACATTTAGGTAATGGTATCACAGCTTCTGGCAGCTGAATTCTGGTTAGTCTTCCCCCAGATCATCAGGTTTATACACACTTTACAAATTCAATGTTTGTGACTGAGATTTTATGGGTTTCCACTTCAGGAGTTTGAGTCAGAGCTTGGACTTGTGGACTGCACGTTCCTTAGCATAGAACAAACTGTTCTAGGCTCAAACCTGTGTAAAAGACTTTGAATATTAATCAGGTTACAAGACTGAGTATGTCCTCCCAAATGAGCACAGATAAGATTACCTACCGCTTTGCTATTTATCCTGCTTGCTCCTTAGTCTCGGTGAATCCACTTAACCGAAACAATATTGTGTGATCTTAGAGTACTTCACCAGATGATACTATGTTTCTCTGCCTTTGATAGACTGCCAAGTATGAATGCATATGCCTCTCTCTACTATGCAAGACATGGTGGGAATAGAGGCTCCAGACTTTTCTCTCAGGCCTGATTTTATAATAATAATATTGATAATAATCCTTGCATTTGATATAGCGCTTTTCACGTCTTCTAGACATCTCAAAGAGCTTCACAGAGTATACTGTAAAGTGAACTGACTGTATATTTGTGGGCGAAATTAGACCAATTTTAATTTTATACAATGTAATCTTTGTCCAGATCCAGAATTTAGTAGGAGGCTTGTCTCTAAAAATTATTTTAATACGATAGTGTAGAGTCACACGAAGAAGCTAGAATTATAGGATTGACAGTAGCATATGGATAATGATCTGTGAACAGGCTCATTTCAATGAATAATTAAACAGGTGTTGGCTGAGCCAGTGAGAGAAAGTCTATTGATCTTCTGTTTAAGTGTGAATACTGTTCATGAATTGCTAAAGCAAGACACCACAGATTTTTTATGTGTGTTATTGAACAGTCCTAGTAGAAGCTGCTTCTGCAGATATGAACAAGATAAATTCTTGGTTGAGATGCGATCATTTATAAATAGATCTCAGCGATTAAATTATTCCAGTAATTTGGAAATAAAATCATACAGCAAAATTGAAAGTTGTCATTCTTTCTGTGCAACAGCTATATAAATAATCCTTGCATTTGATATAGAGTCTTATCATATCTTCGAGACGTGATAAGGCGCTATATCAAATGCAAAGATTATTATGCAGAGAGAGATTGACTGGGCGATAGTCTTTTTGGGTCTTGTTCCATCCTATATATAGGCATTTGCAATCAAAAGCAACAATACTACTGGCTCAACAATATATTAATAATAATCCTTGCATTTGATATAGCTCCTTATCACATCTTCGAGACATCTCAAGGTGCTTCACAGAATATACTATAAAGTAAATTGACTGTATATTTTGTGGGCAAAATGTGGCAGCCAATTGCACACAGCAGTGTCGCAAAAACAGTCATGGATTGAAGTGACCAATTCATTATTATTTGTTTTATTTTAACAAATTTATATACTTGCAAAGAGATAGGAATGTGTAACCCAATAAGATGCAAAACCTAATTTTTATTAATATGAGTTCAATAGACTAGGTTGTTAGATATAAATCAATAGGAAACAAATGGATATCACTTTTCCTTGTGATTAGTCCTTTAGAACATTCATGACAAACTAGGGAGTTGACGTTAATAGCCGTTAGAACAATTGGAAAGCCAATTCGGGACTTTAATCCCTTCTGGAGAACTGTACCACTGTAGTACAATACCTGTACCTTATCTGTATTAAGATCACTAGAATACTAGTTGAACTTTGTACCTTTCTGTAGAATCCTGTAGCTCAGTGGTTAGAGCACTCGCCTCACAAGCGAGAGACCTGGGTTTGATTCCCAGCAGGACGAAACCTCAGGCAAGTTTCCTAACTCCACAAGCCTGATAATAATCCCTCAAGATTAAAAAAATAATAATTTGGTCACTTCAATCCACGACTGTCATTCTTACTATTATTCTGGTCCGGTGATAACAGTACTAACCACTAATCTAAGCATCTACCAAAAGTAATCGATTCTTTCAAATTAATAATAATTGCATTTGCTATAGTGCCAGGAGAATGTCTTAAAGCGCTTCGCGGGATTTAATGTTGTGGTGTATAACATTTTAAATGGGATTGAAAAAGTAAGACCAGAAAAATACTTTAGGATGCACCAGGACAGTAGAGCAAGAGGACATAGGTTTAGAGTTGCAAAGGGCAATTGCAGAACAGATATCAGGAATTTTTTTNCTTTACACAGAGGGTAATTAACAACAGGAAATGGTTGCCAGGAAGGCTACCAAACTCATTTAAAAACAGTTTGATGCTGCGATGGGAAGATGGTTGGTGGGTATTCTGGAGGGATGGCATTCAATGAGCTAAGGGGCATTCTTCATCCTAACCAATCTTGTGATCTTAAATGTGTTGACTGCATATTTGAAGACAAAAATGTTGCTGGATAAATATTGTAAGTAAATCAAAATTAAATTGGAGATTACAGGGTTCCATAATAGTTTGAAATAACTAAATCCTCCACATGGCACAGTGGGGATCCTAATGGGAGGGGGACTAGGAGACAAACTTTGTCAATAGAGGAGACAGGAATTGAATTGTATAGATTTGGGATCGATAGCTTCACTGGAGTTTTGTTTGTTAACTTGAGATCATGGAGAATTCCGTAGCTAGGTGGTTAGAGTACTTGCCTTGCAAGCGAGAGGACCCGGGTTTGATTCCCGGGTTTCCTTACTCCACAGGCCTCTGTTTACCTAGAGGTGTTTCAGTGTGTTCTGTAGATTGCAATTAACTGGTATTCTTCAATTTTGTGTCTTTCAGTCAGCGCTATTGCATGTGCAATCCAGAAGTTGTCCAGCAGTTTCATAATCCTGACACAATCTTTATCCTGGCCTTCGCTATTATCTTGCTCAACACAGACATGTACAGTCCCAATATCAAACCCGATCGCAAAATGATGTTGGAAGATTTCATTCGCAATTTACGAGGTTAGTGCATGTGCTTAACAGTGACTAAAGCAATCCTGTAAATAAGACAGATGGAGGGAATGGGTTCAACAATGGCAGTAGCTGAAACCTTATTATGAGAAATTTACACCTCTACATGCTCCTCCCTTATCCTACCAAACATTCACCGGTACTGCAGCTTCTTCATATCTATACAAATTGTTTTTGAATCATCCTGTTTTGCACAACTTACCAGTCCTAATCGTACCCATCTCTGGCCTGCTCCCCGGCTCACTTCTAACCAAGCTACTGACTGCTAAACTGACCCAATCTCCTCCCCAAAAGCAGTGCCATTGAACGTTTCCTTCTATCCTCAAAAATTGTTCCGCTTTTCTATCTTTGCTCCTCCCCCCTTCTTTGGTGACATCACATAATTTGTAAACATGGGGTTTACATTTGTTACGTAAACCGATGATTCCAACTCCACCTCTACATCAACGCTCTTGATTCCAGGACTGCACTGTTTGTATGAATACCTGTCCAATGTTAAGGCCCAAATTTCTATAGCTCAATGCCAACAATACTGAAGTCACTTGTTTATCTTTCATCAGCTCCGATTCCATCAAGGTCCCTGGTTGCTCGCTCACCTGCTTGCTCCTGCGAAATCAGCTCTTCTGACTTTGTTTTGCTGTTTTTTNCCATTCTCCCTGATGCCTCTCTCCAATCTATTATTGGAGGCGATGGTTTCAGTCACCATATTTCTGTATTCTCTGGAAATCTTGTCCAAAATCATACTTATCATTTCTCTTTTTTCAAAACAAATCTTTTCAATCATCCCATCAGTCATAGTCTGTCACTTGTAAATATCTCTCACTTTTTCCTCAGTGTCCCAACTTGTCATTTTTAACTTCTTTGAGATCTGTTTTGCATGAATAGCATTCCATATATTGTTGGTGATCCATTCTGGATTGACCAACCATGAAGCAAGGTTTATTTTATTTATTTTAATATATTATTAAGAAACTTGGTTTGATTATTTAATGGGGGGAATTTTTCTGTTTAAAAGAACAAAGCAATTAAAAAATATTTTGTTTGAATTAGTTTATGTATAAATTAATAATAATCCTACCTTGTGAAATAAGCGCATTATTGTGTCAAACCACCTTAAAGCATTCATCTGAGTTTTTTCTATAAAGTGTAGTGACTCTATCATTGTAATGTGGCATTCAATTTGTGCAGAACAATGTCATGCAAACAGCCACTAGGGGTTTTGTTGACCTCTACACCAGGAGAAACTTCGCTTTTCAAACAGTGACATGGGATCTTTAATGCTCACCTGAACAAGCAGAAGTCTTGGTTTAACGTCTCATCCAAAAAAAATCCATTTGTCCACTTATAGTCACTTTAGATTAGGGTTTGGTCTATTGACCAATGCAATGTGTGCATTGAAAATGTTTCTTCTTTCCTGTTCTGTTTTTTTTCTTTACCATTTGTTTATCTCTTGTTTCCGTCATTTTGCCCCATCCCCTCCACCAGGCGTGGACGATGGAGCAGACATTCCTCGAGAGATGGTTGTTGGCATTTACGAACGAATCCAGCAGAAGGAATTAAAATCGAATGAAGATCATGTGACATATGTAACCAAAGTAGAAAAATCAATAGTGGGGATGAAAGCAGTAAGTTTACTGAACCTTGTTGGCTAATTAAGTTTGGATTGTATCCTTTAGTATTGTAGCAGAATAATACAGTGCTACTTATCCTAAATTGTCCTTATTAGTAACACCAAAGCAAAAGGACAAAGATATGGATTTGGATTGTGAAGGGCATTTTCAGGACAGACAGACACCAGAGATTCTTTATACAAAGTGTAATTAATAGATGAATTAGTTAGCCAGGAAACGCAATTCATTTAATTTACAGCTTTTTGGGGACATAGTAATGTTAGCTTTGTTAGTGGACACAAGCATACAAGGACTACCCTATCTTATTGGCAGGGCATTGAAGTTCCTTTGCAAAGTGACTTATCGCAGAAGCACTTCCTGAAGGAGTGAGGTCAGTAGTAACCTGACGATCCAGATATTGGCCCATGGTTATATGCCTGAAGCCAGCTAGTCAACAATAGGAGCTGAATGTAATACATTTTCAGGTGGCACAGGTCCGCAGGACATTAGTATTGTAAGCAAGGCAGTGCTATACCAATGGAGCATTATGATGGTTTTGATCTGTAGTTTGATCTTCTTTAACTCTATACACCAATGCAAATTGGAAGCAATTTAGTACTTTGCAATCCTGGACATATGGAACTGGTTGAATCCACTGAAATTCTGTAGAGTGACAATGAATAGGAATTGCAATTTGATGCACTGGATGTGAATTCAAAGCGATTTGGTCAACTGGAATTCTATATTATAGGAGAAAAATAGAAGGGATTCAATCTACTGCAAGAAATTGGTTTGATCAATTGGAATTCCATGCTTAATAGTGAGTGTGGAGAGTAGGAGGTCTTTGAAAATCCTATGCTCTAATTCAAATTATTTAGTTATTTGGAGGCAACAGCACACAGAGGCAGTGACTCCTCTTTACAATCTTTACTTAGACAAGGGAAACTACAGTTGCTTTTCACTCATTATTCACAGCTTCATGAATCAGAAACTTTGCTCTTTATTTATTTGGCTGAGCAGCAAGAGCCATTCAGCTGGTGTTTGCTGAAGTGGAATAATGTGTGATAATACTCCTGCCACTCCACAGGAATAACTCCCTATATTTGTTGCTTTCTTAAGGCTCTGTCTGTCCCCCACCGGCGCCTGGTCTGCTGCAGCCGACTCTATGAGGTCATGGACATTAACAAAGCACAAAAGCAGGCAGCTCATCAGCGGGAGGTCTTTCTGTTCAATGACCTGGTTTTGGTAAGGAACTCTGTGTGTGAATATTATTAGATGTTGATACATAGAGATCCAAATGAACCTGCCCTAAGGGTATGATTTAACTACTCGCTATGGTTCAACAATGAGTCACTATGGTTGACATTTGTTAAAAATTGAAAGAACTGTTGTCACAAGACATTAATGTTTAGTTCCTCTTCTCCATCCTGTACTGAAACCAATGATTCCCACTGGTTATAGTTCTATGGGAACTGACAGCTTTCCTATACTTTTAACCACATGAGCATTTTTCATGTCTATTATGAGTGCCATAGCCATTGAGAGCATCATAACCCAATCCTGGACTCATCCCAAACTCAAATTAGCATTTTAATAATAATAAAAAAAATCCTTGCATTTGATATCGTGCCTTATAACATCTTTACGACTTCTCAAAGTGCTTCACAGAATATACTGTAAAGTGTAGTGACTGTGTATTTTGTGGGAGAAACGCGGCAGCCAATTGCACACAGCAGTGTCTCACAAACAGTCCTGAATTGAGTGACCAAATGATTATGTATGTTAAGGGAGTATTACCCCCGGAAAAACGATCCGCCAATCGACTAACGGGTTACTTACTGCTAGGTAAACAGAGTAAGGAAAGTTGCCTAAGGTTTATCCCCGCCTGGGAATCGAACCCAGGTCCTCTCACTTGCAAGACGAGTGATCTAACCACTAAATTAGCATGCATTCATCCAGGAGGGTTCTGTGAATCCAACCAAGAATAGAAACCAAAGCTGTGTTATTTTCTTTCCTCAGCTTGGAGGTTAATTGTAGGACTCACACTTTGTCTATGTTGAGTGTACATCCCAAAGCACTTTACAAGATATACTATAAAGTGGAGTGCCTTTGTGTTTTATGGGCTTGTTAAGGATTTTATTCTTTGTTAAGGAATACCTGTGTGAAATATCACAAATTAGAGCCTCTTCTATCCTTAAAGAGACAGGCACCAAAATGAAATAATGAAAATACCCCGTACCCACATATTCTTTCTGTTCATTTGAATTAGGCCCTGAACTTAAATCAAATCGATTAGAATCCGAAAATCTATTTCCCACTTTACCAATTGCTTTCTTAAAATGTTTTCAATCCTGACAAAAAGATATTACTTCTTTCATTCTTTAATCTCCTGATATCTTTGCTTGACAGATACTGAAACTTTGTGCAAAGAAAAAGAGCTCTGCCACTTACAGTTTCTGCAAGTCCATTGGCCTCCTGGGAATGCAGATTCATCTCTTTGATACTGAGTGTACGTGCATCTACATTCTTTTTTAAATATGTTTCATGATAGCTAGCATTGCAGACCCCAATTAATAGGACTGTAAAAATATCCAATGACAGTTTACTAAGTGTGCTATCAATAGGCATTTATTTCCCATGTTCCATTGCTTAGTTCAGATAGTGGGCATTTTGCTGATCTCTGCTGTCTACTTGTATTTCTCAGCAAAGTCCTCCTTGAGGGTGCAGTGTACTGGCCAGCTTGCCTCACTTGTAATTTCATTTCCTCGGTCCAGGGAAGGAAGACCAGCTCTCTTCAGTATGGCCCATTTCTAAACTGGTCAGAATCTTGGGCTTACAATCCCAACCAACTGCAGTGAGCGGTTGGGTGGGGTCTCCCATCAACAAGCAGCTTATAATTAATTTAGAGACTTGAGTATCAAGCGAGTGTTCAGATCCAATGTTATTATTAGACAAAAGTGCTTTCCCTTTCACAAATAAAGAGAACACGTAAACCTTTTTGTTTAGTGAATTTAAACTTTGCATTTGATTTTAGTGATCCTCTGAATGTATCAAAATTCATTTGTTAAATGTTTCTATATATAGAACGAGAGGCAGTTGCTGGAGCTGGCAGGCCTCCATACAAATCATATGGCTCAGCTGAAGCTTACTTCTAAACTACGTTGGATATATCAACAGTGCGTAGAGTGGAGGAGGGGAAGAGTTGTGAATTATTTCTATATTTATGCTTAAGTGAATTTTCTGGGTGAACTGTGCTATTGAAACAGATGGGACTTAAAAGGACCAAGAGAAATAGAACTGAGTGTCACAGTGTTATTCTGTCCTTTCTGTTCTTTTGTACCTGGGCTCAAATCCAATTCAGGCAGATGGGCTGAATATCTTTTTTTCTCTGATTGGAAACTGAATTTATAGTGCCCGGCAGCATGTTTGTTTCATCTTTCGGACTTTAACTGAAAACAGACAGGTCTCCTCTGTGTTTTTTTTCTTTCCAGAGGAATTGAAGGATGCTTAGATTTTGTGCATTATCCTTTCACCTTTGGTGCTTTAAATCCATTAAAAAACGAGGAATGAATACCTCCTGTTTTTGATGTTCAATTGTATGAACCCTGAATCTCTCTCCCCTTCATCTCTCTCCCCTTCATCTCTCTCCCCTCATCTCCCCCTCTCCCTCTTCTCCCCCCCTCTCTCCCTCCCCTCCTGTCTCTCTCTCTCCCCATCCCTCCCTCCCTCCCCCTCTCTCTCTCCCCCTCTCTCTCTCCTCTCTGTCTCTCCCAAACTCTCTCCCATGCGCAGGTCACTATCTGCAGCGGCAGGAGCCGGCGGTTGGTTGTTAAGGACACGGTTGGTAAGAGCTTACTTCCTGACAGACTGCAGTAAAGGCTCTGCGCACTGCGTCCTCCCGACCACCGGCTCCTGACGTTCACCAGGGAGGGAGTGTGGGTTGGAATGTTGGAAATGATCTTGGGTTACATGCGGCCCATGGGCCACTAGCTGGTCCACACTGGATGTGGCCCGTGGATCTTTCTCAAATAGGGAATGCGGCTCGCGGCCACCCTGATCTGCAGTATTGATCTACAGCTTATGGCTGAGTATTTTCTCTCTTAGTTTATCCACATGGGATCACCCTAGTCTCATCTGTTTCTGGCTCTGAGAAGAAGCAGGTGCTAAGTTTCTGTGCACAAAGTTCTGAAGAGGCCCAGAAGTTCATCGAAGAATTGAAGGAATCAATAGCAGAGGTGACCGAGATGGAGCAGATTAGAATTGAGTGTGAGTACATGATTGCCTCTTGTTTGGTAATGAAATGCATATTTGATCAAGAAGAGCCTAGGTTATTGGTTGGGCAATGTTGATCAGAATGAAACAATCATCCTGCAAGTAAATTGCCATATTGGTCTCATGTTGTTGGCAATGCAGCTCCTCTCAATGCTCCATCATGGTAGTTCTCTTGTGAAAAACTTTTACCTTTAAAAGTCTATATTCTCTAGATTAAAATCCAGCCGTTTTAAGGATCAATGTAAACTTTTAATACATCATTGCAAACTTTGTTTAATAAAATCAATAATCCTTGTAATTGACACTGCACCTTTCATGTCAGAAGGACGTCACAAAGCTCTTCACAGGACGTACTGTGAAGTGTAGTTACTTTATTTTGTAGGCAAATGTGGCAGCTAATTTTCACACCACAAACATCCATGAAATGAATCACCAAATTTATCTGGGGACTGTTGCCAGGACACTGGTTGAAACTCCTTTCTCTTCTCAAATGGTGCCATGGGATATTTATATCCACCTGAACAGGCAGGTAGAACTTTGTTTAACTTCTCATCCGAAGGATGGCACTTCCAACAATCCAGTACTCTCCCAGCACTGCTCTGGAGTGTCGGATCCCTATCAAATATCCAATAATACAATAATAATTGCATTTGATATAGCATCTTTCATGACTGAAGGACGTTTCAAAGCGATTCACAAGATATATTTTGAAGTGTAGTGACTGTGTATCGTGCAGGTGAATCACCAATAGTGGTGTCTTTGATATCATTATCATACATGCATTCATAACATCCAGGCTTGACTATGCAAACTCCCTGCTTGTCGGCCTCCCCAACTCCTCCCTCCATAGGCTGCAGATCATCCAGGACTCTTCAGCCCATGTCCTCTCCCACACCAAGCTCCATAACCCTATCACCCCCATCCTCGCCCGACTCCACTGGCTTCCCATCACACAGAGGATACAGTTCAAGATCCTGGTCCTCACCTTCAAAGCCCTGAATGGCCTTGCTCCCCACTATCTCTCTGACCTCCTAATTCCCTACCAACCTGCCCATTCCCAACACTCAGCAGACTCCAGACTGCTTCATGTCCCCCGCCTCGCTTGCCCCACAATTAGCAGACAAGACTTCAGCCACTCTGCCCCCATCCTATGGAACTCCATCCCAAAGTCCCTCCGCCTCGCACCCTCCCTTGCTTCCTTGAAGCCCCATCTCAAGACCCTCCTCTTTGACCATGCCTTCGATCACTCTCCTTCCCCCCCTGACCTCCACACTCCCCGATCCCGACTCCCAGCTCGGGTCGGAAACACTGACTGTCTAGCGCCTTGGGACATCCTCCCAACATGAAAGGCGCTATACAAATGCAACTTTGTTGATGTTGACGTAGTTGTTATTCACCCAGCTTATTTTTAAGAGAGAAAAGGAGAACGGGGGAAGGCATGTTGTAGGATTGTGAGCTGTTATTGAGAATAGCTAAATATCCCAACCAATACACCCCAGGGGGCAGGGGGCAATCCTTTGGGTGAGCAATAACAAAAGAAAGAATTTTAGTCTCACCTCTGTATTGATTTATACAATGGTGAGTGTCTAATTGTTTCACTTAATAGATCCACAACAAATAGTACATTTTTTTGAAAGGACTTGCAATTGCTTATTAATTAATTTGCTTCTGCGGCAATTGGGAAGAAAGTTGTCAGCAGGGGCCATAAATGAGTTGTAAAGGAAAATAAACAGATGCTTGAAAAGGAGATTATTAGTATGGGGAGCGAGCAGGAGACTTAGGTGGCTCATGTGGAGGAAGAAACAGTGCAGACCTGATGGGCTGAGTGGCCGGTTTCTGCGCCCTAGCATATGATTCTAAATAAACCCAATGGAGTGTGCTTTCACATCCCCTACAGGTTTGTAAGCCGAAATCTAGTTTTGAACTGCCTGCTGATGTATCATCTCACTCGGTTCAGTGAGAGAGAGAGAGAGAGAGAGAGAGAGAGAGAGAATCGAAGAGTTATAGAGCAGGAATAGCAAATCTTAGTAGCCTGAGCTGTTGCCATGCCAACGCCATTTGCCTGATTTTCATGGATAGCCTCAAACTCAGATGTTGAATAAAATGAAACCAGCTTCTACTCCCTATTTTACAACAAATTGATCAAACCTTTCAACATTTACTGGCTTGAATGGGCCATAAAGGATGTGATGCAACATTGGTGATGGTTGCGGAGAAGTAGTGGTTGCAATTGAAATGCTGCCACCCTGATGGTGCACATCAAACTGTGGCAATGGGGAGGGATACCCCTCACCTCTCATCCCTCACCTCTCACCCCTCACTAAAGCAGCCACCGAGACTTCATTTTGCACATGTCTCAGGTGATCCAGAAGATCCTTTGAGATATTGTGCTACACAGAAGCCTGACTGACCATGACCTCCGAGACTGTTTGTGACTCCTAACACCAGTCAGGCATCCCTAGCACCAACCCTAGCCCCCAAACCTGACTAGATTTGGGTTCACAAGTCTGTAAGGAATGTGAAAGCAGGGCCTTTTTTGATCAGCTGGGTGCCACCATTCTTAAGAGTATCCAAACCAGCCTGAGAGATCCACATGCATGTGCCACCAACACATGGAAATATCCCTGTGTCTGGAATGGAAAGTTCACTCTTTTCCCAGAGGGATGCATCCTTGTTACCTAATTCAGAGAGTATTAGTAGGTACAGGTTTGCAGTGTGTGTGTGTTGAGGTACTACTGGAGTTTAACCAGGTAAAACGGCAAAGCTTTTCATAGGTCCTTAAACTGATCATAAACCAGCCCCACAGCACTTAGAACATAAAGATTGCTAGATGAAAGAAGCCTTCCACCATCCTGGCAGTTGCATGCACATATCAAACTATATACTGTATCCCAAGATATTATTTCCTAAAATAAATCTATCTCATTTGCTTTTGAAAGAATCAACACTTTCTGCTTCCACTAGAGTCTCCCTGGGGAGCTTGTTCCATGCATTTACTACTCGCTCACTGAAATAGTGTTTCTGCAGATTTGTTTTGAATTTACCCCCTTTAATCGCAGGCCATATCCTCTGGTTCTACTGTTCTGGACAAGATCAAAAGCTTATCATGGTCTACATTATCCAGTTCCTTTAGAATCTTAAAAAACACAATCATATCGCCTCTCATACATGATGCATACTTGTTAATTTTCCAATCAGGAATTAGTAGTGAAAAATTAAATTTCCATTCTGTACGACAGACCATTCTGCAGACACAAGTGTTGAGCAGTGCTCCCAATCAGGAGAGAAGCCCAGCACTTGAAAGGAAACTATGCAAACCAAAAAATGTTACCCGAGTAAAATCTCACGTACTAGGTTGAAAGCACTGAAGGAATGGAATAACCATCAGCTGTGGTTATCTTCTGGGGGTTAAGTAAAGGAGAATTATTTTTCTTCTGGAAAACAAGTGGCATGTTTATGTTTGAGTAAATCACAAATTTGTAATTGATTTTAAATTCCCTCAACAGGGGAACTGGAAAAGCAACAGGGGGCAAAGACCCCTTCTGCAAAGAATAACGGAGCTCAGCTTAACATCCGAACACAAGTATTTCCATCAGGTCAGGCTTCTTTGTTTTATATTCCTGGGATACAGATATCAACCGAATTATAGCAGAAATGGTGTGTGAAGAATATCAAAATAGTGAGGGAGAGAGATGGTGACCTTAAAGCTTTTAGCATGGTACTATACAGCAGTAAAGCTGTAGAGGGCTGTAGAGGAGGTGTCCCTCTACTGTGGTAAAACTGTAGTGTGTACAGGGGGTGTCTGTTTACTGGGGTAAAACTGTAGAGTGCTATAGAGGGGGTGCCTCTAAACTGGGGTAACGTTGTAGGTGCCTTACAGGGAGTGTCTATACCGGGGTATAGCTGTGGAGTGTGTATGAGGGTGTGTCTATACTGGGGTAAAGCTGTAGACTGTGTACAGAGGGTGTCTATACTGGGGTAAAGCTGTAGAATACTGTAGAGGGCTTTCTCTATACTGGGATACAGCTGTGGAGTACTGTAGAGGGGGTGTCTCTATACTGAGGTAAAGCTGTAAGGTGCTGTTTAGTTAGGTAGTTGTCTGAAAAGCATGGAGCTGTTTGTGAAAAAAAAAGAGCTGATGTTGATGAAACGTGGACAGGAAATTTCTGCTGTAGTCTCGACTCCAAATGACTTTGAGGTTACCTCAAATGTTTTTTTCTTATTGGAAACTATAATTTTCTGTCATCAGAAAGTCAGTGATGTTGAAACCATGTTGAAATTGATTCTAGTATTTGCCCATAGCATCTATGTCTCTACTGGTTGCATGGTTTGGCTCAATTTTACATGAATAATGCTGTAAGAACCAATGTCTCCCACATTTCTTTCTCTCGTTTGCTTTCTCTCTGTCTTGCTCTCATCTTTAATATCTCATTCTTGTTTTCTTATCTAATTTCTCACTCTAGCTTGTTTTCTCTCTGATTTCTCACTCTAATTTGTTTTCTCTTTCTCTCTCTTGCCATATTTCTTTCACCTGTTGTCTCAAATGCTCTCTTTGACTCAACATTTCTATCTTTCACTTTAAATTGCTCTTTCTTATCTTGAGATTGGTTTCTATTTCTCTCTCCCTTTGTAAAATCTCCCTTCTTCTGTACTGAAGTGTCCTATTGTATTTCATCCTAGTCCTTTGTCTTGCCCCTCTTTGTCACACATATGTATGCACACTATCACTCACTCACTTTAACAGATACTCAGGAATGTGTTCCAAGCATGTCGCATATTAGGAATTCAGATGATGCCTGAAACTGTGTGACAAAATATCATCTGAATCTGTGCTGAACTCTTGCAGCATACTCTGAATGATTTGTTTTACATTCTAAGCATCACACACTGCACTATGCTTAAAAGCAATTTACTGTGGTTGTACTGATGAGGACAAGTTTATGATGAATGGCAATTGCTCACAGGGAGTATGAGTTTAAATAGCCTGAGTGTGAAAGTAAGATATAGATGAATACACGCAGACAACACACATATTATAAACAGTTAGTGTAAACATATATAATATACCTTGGTGTAAATATGATCTTACATATATGTGTCTATAATTATGTCTATATACTAGCTGTCTGTGTGTATACTTTAGTTAGTTAGATTTACATGTGGAAAGATATTGGGATTAACTTTCGGTGTTCCTCAAAGTGATTCCATGATAAGGAATCTCATCATAATTCCCAACGACTGTTACATCATTACAGGTCAGTGTGACACTTCCGTATCCTATGTTGAGGAATCCTGTTAGCAGGGTACAGACAGGCCAGAAGAATCTTGAGTCACAAAGGTTAGCCTTGACTTGGTGTTGACTTGACAAAAACGAATTAACCACACTGGTGGGAGGGATCCTACTAAGGGTGGTAAGAAGAATGCTTTCCCCCTTGTTGAATTGTAACAATAAGAAAGGCTTAAATGAACCCCCAAATGGAGCACAGAGCAAGATGGATGGGTGTTACAATATACCCATAATATCTTGTGCTTGTTCTAGCTCCCTGCTGGAGTCACTAGTCAAATCACATCATCCTTTTTAATAATGACTAATTTCCCTCATTTAAAAGAAATCCTTAGCCCAAATCAGAAACACCCTTTGGGAGTAATGCATTCCTTATAAATGTAACTTTGTTGTTGTTTTTGTCACTACACCCATCCTCAAAAAACCTTCTCTGGAACTATTCCCTACTCCCTATCTCCAACCTCCCATTCCTTTCAAGGCCCCGGAACAAGTCATTGCGTCCCAGCTTCACTCTTTCCTTTCCCGCCATTCCTTCTTCGAACCCCTCCCCTGCACGGGAACAGCCCGGGTCAAAGTCAGTAACAACATTCTGAACATCCGCAACCAGGATTCTCTCTGCCTCATCCTCCTCGACCTCTCTGCTGCCCTTGACACTGTCAACCATTTTACCCTCCTACACCATCTCTTATCTCTTATCTCAGCTCAATCTTTGCGGACCTGCCCTTGCCTGGTTCAAATTCTACCTCTCCCAATATTTCCACTTTGTCACCATAAACGGTTTCTCCTCCAGCCCCCGCACCATCACCTGTGGTATCCCTCAGGGCTCTTTCCTTGGCCCTCTCCTTTTCAGTATCTATATGCTCCCCCTTGGGGTCATCATGGGGGGTCACCTTCCACATGTATGCGGATGACACCCAACTTTACCTCTCTGCCTCCACTCTTGACCTCACAGACTGCCTGTCGGGCATCAAGACCTGGATGAAAGCTAACTTCCTGCAGTTGAATGACAACAAGACTGAAGCCCTCCTGCTTGGCTCCCGTCAGCACCTCCATACCTTGGGCGCTGACAGCATCTCCCTCCATGGATGCACTCTACATCTCATGGAGTCAATACGGACCCTCGGGGTCCTGTTTAGCCCTCAACTGTCCTTCATACCCCACATCTGTGCCATGACCTGCTCTGCCTTTCCCCACCTCCGCCACTGTCTCACTCTGCAGGCCATCGAGATCCTCATACATGCATTGACAACATCCAGGCTCAATTATGCAAACTCCCAGCTTGTTGGCTTGCACTCTGCAGCCAATGTCCTCTCCTGCACCAGGCTCCATGACCCTATCACCCCCATGCTCGCCTGACTTCACTGGCTTCCCATCACACAGAGGATACAGTTCTTAATCGTGGTCTTCACTTTCAAAGCCCTCTATGGCATTGCTCCCCACTACCTCTGTGACCTCCTAACCACCTAACAAACTGTCCACTCCCTCCGCCTCCACTATCCTCGATCCCGACCCACAGCTCAGGTCCGAAACACTAATTGTCCAGCACCTTGGGACATCCTCCAGATGTGAAAGGCGCTTTACAAGTGTAATTTTGTTTTTGTTGTTGTCTTCACATTATCTCTTCCACCTACAATATTAATCCAATTACCCGGTGAAATATTCTATTTGAAATTAGGGAACCACGTAACTTAGTCAAACAGTTTTAAAGTGTTAGAAGCAGGAATTTGAACTTTGGAGCATTTGATTTTAATAAGGACTTATTAACAATTCCGATTTCTGAAGTATACTTTCAGCAGAGAGATTATTTAAAAACCATTTTGAGCATAATTATATCAAATGAAAGAGCTGTTTCATTCTTAGAAATACCAATATGATAGAGGTTGCATAAACATATAGCTCATATAATACAACTGGACAGGCAAACATTGAATAAAGCCGGCGATACACACATACATTGCTGACTAAATTAAGTAGCCAAATAAGCACTTGTTAAGGATTTGCTTCCAGCAGTAGGTCCAAATGTTCATAAAACAGATGGCACGGAAAAAATGATTGAAATGTAAATAGACTTTTCTGTATGCAATGCGCATATAGTTTTGCCAGTTCTGCACCAGAAAGCACTGGAATGCAAATAGTGTTATTAACATATCAGCAAAATACCAGTAGTTAGTTTCCTTCAGATTGGAAATAGATTAATGTGGTTGGCTGCTCTTAAATAACTTCCTGACTGTCAGGAGCAAGAGCCTCTGAGAGCTGGCACGGCTGCACTGCTTGTGTTCTGCCAGGGAAGGTTTGGAGGGTAGTCGCAGAATTCTGCTAGCAAGGTACTTTTCTTGTCTGCTTGTATGCATGGTTTACTGATTGTACCTGCCTGGGGGTGTTTGAGATCTGGAATCACTCCCATTAGCCTCTAGTTCTATTTTTGTCACCTGCTGGGGGTTTGGAGAAGTTGGAATCACTCCATCCACCTGGTGACACTCACTGCTTGTACTCTGCCGAGTGCTTGAAGGCTGGTGTCACTCCTTCAGTAGATGAAAGGGGCATAGGCCATATGTTGCTAAGTGTTCCTAGATATACTTCCAATTGTTCTGGACATGCACCAGCTGAAGGCTAAAAGGATGTATTGACACATAAACCTTTTCAGTTAGGATTAGATTAGTTGTTCTTTGAGTTTAGCAAGATTACTAGGGTAGGCCTGAGATGGGGAGTTATTTGAAGATTGTTGAGGGGGTCTATAATCAGGCTCTTATGTGAATATTGGTAATATTGATTGCTGTAGACTGCAAAGAGTGCAACACTAGGTGTCTCATAGCTTGATAATAGTAAGGTCAAATTGTTGCAGGTCGCTAAGAAAACTTGAGAGTGGGACTGTCTCAGCGTAATACTAATGAGGTTACGTGTTTCAAATTGCTAAATAGGCCAAGCCTTCAAGTATAGAGAGTGAGGTTTATTTTTCAAGAGGGCCAAGGAACAGAACCTGTTGGGACATGACTAATGGCTGCAGACTGACAAGGTTGGAAGGAGACTGGCGTCTCTCAGGTTTACTGATGAAGTTAACTCAGCGCAGGTTACTAAGAGGGACCCAGGAGCAGAACCTCTCTATAATACTGGTAAAAATGATTGCCAAAGACTGCCAAACACTCTCGAAGACAAGAGCCTCTCAGTTATGCAGAGGTATGTAAGTCCAAATTCTGTCACATTGTTGGTGTGGAAATTAGCCACGTTCTGGCATGCTTTAATTATTTGACTTCTGCAGCAGCACATGTGCACACACGTAGATGTGTCAAAAAGAACTTAACTCTGGAATACAAT